CTACACGACACAGAAGTATCAGAGACAGAAGAAGCTCGGGTGCTCTGAAATTTGACCGTTAAAGGTGGAGTCTTTGGACACTTGGGATTTGCTTCGGTAACTTGTGGTAATAACGCCGGTAAATGGTCTCCGAATGTTGTTCTGTAGAGTGATAGAAGATACCGTTCCAAATGCAATATCTCTGTCTCAAGCTCTGCAATCTCATTCCTCAGTTCTTCCGTAGACTACAACAACACAATTCACAGCACAAATGGAGATGAATTCACACATGTATATACTCATATATACATATATACATATACATATATATATATGTCCGTGTGTGTGTACGCATGCTGGAAACAACATGATTGTGATTGTAGAAATAACCTTTGGAGTTGTTGAATGACGATCTTGGCAATTCGCCTTCTCTGGATTCCAGAGAGGTGATTTCTTCACGAACTGTGATGAAACAAGAGAGTATTAATGTAAAATCAACTTAAACACCAGAAAGAGTTCATATGTATGCATATATAATATGTGTATATATGTGTGTATGGATCCATTATTAGATGAACAGTGAGCATACAGATTTTGTTTGAGTGGACAATCTCGGAGACACCAAACTCTGGAGAACCCCATTATGAAATCCTCTGCAGAAACAAAAAACCCAGAATTAATCGACAAGATTAAAGCCTGATTGATTACAATCGTCATTAGCATTAGATTAGGGCCATTAAAAAGCTACTGACCTCGGAGTGCTTAGCTGGGAAGAAGACGAAGAGGAAGACAAGGAAGAAGACGAATGAGAAGAGAAGCAGCCATTTCTCGACGGCATTCTCTTCCTGTGGAGGCTATGTTGGATTCAAACCCTAACGATCAAAACCCAGATTTTCTTTTTTGGGTCAGGGGATGATGGAGAAGAAGAACAGTGTGGAGAAGCTAATAAAAGGGACGGAGAGAGACAGAGAAGCGGAAAGTGATGGGTTTGGTGTCTGAACGAAGCCACCACTCACGAAGAATCGAAACAGAACCATTAAGAAATTAACAAACACAGTTTCCATTTTTTAAAATATTTAATCACACAAAATAATGCATATATACATATATACATATATATAAACATTGTCTGAATGAAATCGCGACCGAACCTACAAATCCAAGCAAAATAATTTCGTTTTGTCGATTTGGAGAAAGGCAAACGGACCCACTCCTCCAATAATCATATATATTACACACACATAGAGATAATGTATGCATGTATATATATATATGTTTCGTTTTGTCGAATTTTGGTAGAGGTTATGAGAAGTAACAAAGACCTCACTTTATATAGTTTTTGTAAGGTGTAATTTATGTGCATGTACTCTTTAGTAAATTTTCCTTTTGATTTCGCAATCCAATCCCCCATGGGAACGTATTTCATATAAAAAATATTTACAATAGCTAGTTCGAACCTAAACGATAGAAAAATTATATAAAAAAAAAGACATTAAGAAATCTTTAAAAATTTCTTCTATAAGATTAAAATTTGGAGTTTTTGAATCGTATAAATTAATTAATTAATAATTGATATTTAGGTTTAGCTATATAAAATCAAATCGAATTATATATATATATTACAAGTAAATGAGATGTACGTGGAGGATCCGACGGCGATGATTACTTCCATGCAAGATCTACCGCAGTTCCCACGTTTCATGAAATTGAGTGCTCACTCACATGAAACGCTGTCGTCTAATTATTTATTCTTTTATTGCACAAAACCCTCATCAAATATACATAATACTAGTGTGTGTGTATATATAGTATACATAATACATATACGTACATCTAAAATTAATTTCTTGTCTGACAAACTAGTTGAAGAGTAACAGCGGAAGTGCTTAATTTATGAATTCATTGTATTTTTTTTGTTACAAGATATTGTTTGTGAAATTATTATAACGACTAATATAATATTCTTTGTGAATCAGGACATAAATAATTTAAATCAATTATAATAATTAAGCATTGAGAATTTCGAGGTGGACCGACAAGACAAGCAGCGGCAGCAGGCAATAAATAAATGGTTGCATTGCATGAACCATCGATTTGATACCCTTCCCGCTTTTATATCACAAATTGGTAAAATATATCACCAGAAAATTATTTACCAATTTTTTTTTATATTGGGAAAAAATAAGTATAAGGTTCTAATTTGGTATTCTTTGGCCGATTTTTTTTGGATTTTAGGATGTAATATACTTTTTCTGATTTGAAAGCAAATTAATCAATTTTGAAACCAGTATAATAATTAGAGATTTCAAAATTATTGAAAATTATGATTGACATATTGGTTTCGATATATATAAAATAAAGACAAATCAAATCAAATCAAATATAAAAAACAAAAGTCTCATTACCTAAAAATAATTAGATCTATATTTTTTTCAAAATTAAATTACTTTGAATTGAACCAAATAGTAAAAAAATGAAAAAAACGATTTTGTTATAAAAACAAATATATTTTTAACAACATCTAAATCCGATAGAATAATAAAATAAAACAAATCGAAATCAAATTATTTAGGATAAAAACTCAATTAAAAAATATTTTAAAAATCGAAATTCGACGTGTACATCCATAACCACAATCTGAGAAAATATACTTTAGAATTGGATGACTGAACCAAAAATATATTTTACATTTTTTCTTCCTTTCTTTGTGCCTATATATAAAATAGGATAAAATCTCTAAAAACCCTTAAAAATATATACAAATAAACATTCAATTTGAAAAGTTATCATTTAATTCTCAAACTTGTAATTTGATACTGAATAAAACCTTGAATATACAAATTGTTACTCTAATAAACCTTTGACCAGTTTGACCACAATATCAGGCGATCGAAAATCTACATATTGACGGATTACTGATGTCAGCTTATATACATCGACAATTTTAATTTAAAAAATGACACATCAGCTGAAATCAACAATCATCAATACGTAGATTTTCAATCTCCTAAAATTGTGGTCAAACCGATCAAAAGGTTATTAAAGCAACAATTTTCATATTAGAGGTTTTATTCAGTGACATGTTACAAGATTAGAAATTGAATGATAACTTTTCAATTTGAAAGTATATTTGTATATATTTTTACAAGTCGTAGGTTTTTTAGGGGTTTTACCCTTTAAAATATTTATTCATTATTTATATCTTTTTCTTCTTTTCGAAATGGTCCGCTAGAATTCACCTCATAATGCCCAATTTGAATTAAAACAAATGGCGCATTTAAAGTATCCATAATTCTGAAACTACCCTCCTAGGGGACGATAAGAAAACACATCGGAAGAAATGATATAAGAATAAGATTAGTACAAATGATGAAATTACCCATGACATTACACATATATACACCCACATCACACATATACATGTCTACATTTATTTATACTGCACAATAATTTATATAATATATATCGTATTCTAGGTATATTACTCCAGAACGAACACACTTAATTTTGGAGTTATCTCGAGATAGAAAACAAAAAAGTATATGCATATTGTTGGTATGATTAGTTCAATCAAGTCTTTTTAAGTTATCATTGATTTTGTAGTCCTTTATTTACACAGTACTTGGATTTCTCTTATTCCGATACGTTTGACTTATCCATGTACCCCTCTTGTCTAGTGGTCTTTGGAGAACCACTCGTTGTCTGTGTCACTTGTGATGGATATGATGCTCTAGGATGATCATACGATATGAGAACTATGTATGATACGATGATTTCATTGGATGAATGCATTGTTTGTTCATTATTTATTTTGTATATTTGATCAATAATGATAACCATGGATTGTAATGAACGATCATAAATTCCTTAATCGATTGTCATTGTGGAAGCAATGATGAATTAAGACTAACATAAGGTGTGATGGATGATCATAGTGATGATCATGTGTATTGGATACGGATCACGGTCATGGATACTTGTTTGGAACAAGTGACCGGATGACTCACATGAGATTGTCGATTGGATTTTTTCCATGACTTGAATCTCACTTGATGGTTCACTTTGGATCCTCAGACCTGAGATATCTATTGTATCCATCATGAGGAGTAATGTACTTTGACTGCGTCAAGCGTCGTCTTTAACCGGATGATTATAAAGGCATGGCTCGGGTACATTACGAATCATGTAATAGATAGTATATAGTCAAGATGGAACTTTGTCCCTCTCGAAAGAGAGAGATATCGTTTGGACCCGTCGTAGGAGTGAGACTGTAGAAATGTGTGGCCGCACTATAGATGAATGTCATCTATCTCTTACAGTCTACTCGGGATACGACAAAACAATCGAACTATGAGTTCGATTATGATATCGTGAGACAAAAAGGATCATCGTTAGAACTATCTCTAGCTTTTCGGTTAGATCACATCTAACTCTTTCTCATACGGGTAATCATAATGTCTTACTAGAGACCGCTTATGATTTGTAAACCAAGATTGGATCTCGGGTTTACTGCCATTTTCGGAGGAGCCTAAACGGTCACACACATACGGGATGGACGTGTATGTATGTGAAGTCGGGAACGAGAAACTTTGGAATTTTTCCGTGGGGGCCAGACCGATCGGTCCAATGGTTGGACCGTTCGGTCTGGACTCGGTCTACGCCGTCGTGTTTTGCTATAGTCGATTGGCCTAGACCGATCGGTCTAGGCAATGTGACGTCGACAGGTCTCGGACAAGACCAAAAAGTCCAGACCGATCGGTCCAGACCTAAACTGATCGATCTACGTTCTTTTCGGACTGTCGGCAGAACACTAGCTAGACTGATCGGTCTAGGCCTAGACCGATCGATCTAGGCATCGGTAGGTGGACTGTCCGCGATTTTCACGTGTTTTAATAGCTAAATTAGGTGAGAACCTCCCCACTTGATCAGAATTCGACCCTAGAACATCTGGGGTGGTTCTAGAGAGAGAGAGACTCTTCCAAGAGAAAAAGAGAGCAAGAAGTGTTCTTGATATCCATACACAAGAGATTTGATCTCTTGAGCTCTAGCAAGCTTGATTCCAAGTGTTGGAGTCCATTCCAAGGTGTGGATACCTCAAGAGAGTGTTGGCTTCATCAACACCTAAGCTGTGATCAACAACCTGCAATAGGATTGTGAATCCAAGTGATTCAAAGGTTAGTTTTTTCTCTTGAAGTTCTTCATCGAGCGTGTTTGGTCCGTGGGTGATTCAAAATTTGTTTTGAATGCCATTTTCACTGCGCAAACCTACGGACCTGATCCTAGGACGGTTGTGAACCGTCCGGATCGTGCACACCATGACCCAGCAGTGGTATCAGAGCCCGGATCGTTTGTTTGATGAAGAACGGTCACTTTGAGGGAGTTTGAAGTGTTCAAACTCATGATTTTCCTTGGTTTTGATCCATGTTAAAGTCTGTATAATGATTGAATCTATTGTAGATTTTATCATATGACTTTAGTTGGATATGCAGAGGATCGATTCATGAGTCTACAGCCGAAAATGGATCGAAAATCGGGCAAGAACAGGCACAAAACCAGATCAAGATGAAAAATCGCGATCTGTATTTTCTGCCTAGTATGCTAGACCGGTCGTCTATCATGTAGACCGATCGGTCTGCATCTCCTAGCTAGAACGGGTTGGAACAGTCAAGAACGAACGGTCTGTTAAGGTCCAGACCGATCGGTCTACCTGTAGATCGATCAGTCCAGACCAATGTGATGCAATGTGTCCAGGCTGGTCGCAACGATAACAGATCAGTGATCCCCTCTCGCCAGTGGTGGTGGGGCATGAACAGCGGGCGCCTTGCCCTTGTCGGGTGGGTCACTGCTCCGGACGTTCTTCCCAGATGAACACGTACCAAAGCACTTCCCGAAGGGGCTTCGCTCAGGAGTCTTCCCTTCCTTCTTCTCCCGCTCTCCACGCTCCACCTTCTCCAGCTGCGAGATATACCGACTCAGCGTCAGGTACTCCTGAATCTCGATCTTCTTCCGCAGGTAAGGTCGAACTCCAGCAAT